GTTAGAGAAAAGCCTTTAAAAATAAAAATAAAAAAGTTTCTACGTTGGCAATATAAAAAAAAAAAAAAAAAAAAAAAAAAAAAAAACTTATAGTTGAAAAACCATATAACACATATGGAGTATCAACTGTATATCACAATAGTAAATTATATGCTAAATTAGAATACGTATTAATTTAGAATATCTATAAGTACTACTAATTCGAGGCTATATACTGTATGTTGTTTTTGAAAAACCTGATTTTCAACATGCTTATACAATATTTTAAAAACTTACTATTATCAATATTGTGAAATTTGTGGATTAAAGGAAAAAATTACTACTACAACTTATATAATTTGCTATAATGATATTCAAAATGAAGAATAACACCTACATTTTTCACTACAAAGAAATAAACCAGGTTATATAAGAGCCCGAAAGGCCCTATATAACCAGAAACTTATCTCTTATTCATTAATTTATTTAGTGCTGATAATTATAATAGTAGATATATTTAAAATAAGTTTTTAAATTATTTTATCTTGGTAAGATTATAAACTATTTGTTATTTCTTATTATTAGGTTAATTTAACCAGAAAGTTATTCAAAAGTAATTCATACAACTTCTTATTAGTTTTATTAGTTTATTGTCTATACTGATTTGTTAATAAACAATCTTTTACTCAAGTTAATTTAGTTATTATTAAAATATTTTGAAATAATTTCTTATTTGAGCTAATTATAATTCTTATAACTTGATTTTCTAAAAATTTATATACAAAATATTGATTATAAATTTTAGTCTTATTTGAACACAAAGTTTTATAGTAGTGCACTTGCAAAGTGCATTTGCTAAATGCTTTTCTATTAATCTGATCTTTAATTTAAAATAAAAAAAAAAACAAATAAAATTAACATGTAAATTATAATATATTAATTTACTGAATATTCAATAAATTTATCTAGATATTAATTCAATTTTTTGACCAATTTCTGGATATTAAAAAAGTTAGATTTATAAACATCTAAATAGCTAGTTTTAACTGGATTAGATTATATCTTAAAGATTTAATTGCAAATCCATATATAATAGATAGATTTACTATAGTGCAAATTATATAATAAAAAAAATGCAAATATAGATATTTACAGTATAATAAAAGATAGCCATTGGTTATAATAAAATTATACAATCTACATTTGCTATATGCAAGTCAAATCTCATTCATACTATTTATATTTTTAAATCAGTTATTTCTTTGTAGTTTAAAAAGTTTTATATAGAGGAAAAAAAGATTTCATAGTAGTTATATATATTAATTTCATGTTTTACTATATTCTAACTAAATTTTTAACACTTGCTACTATTATTATATATTAAAATATAACTGTCATTGTTAGCTTCTACAAGTGCTTATTCTGATACTTCTTTTTTGAAGCTTGCACTATATCTTCTGATCTATCTCTTAATAGTTTTTATTGTTGGAATTTCCTTAAATAAAAGCTTATTATTTTTTGCTAAGTTTTTAAGATCCACATATATATCCTTAGGAAAGTAATAATCTGCAGCTTCTAAATTACCTACTAGAAAATAATCTTGCAAGTATTGTAATACTTTTTTTGAAATATGTTTTCTTGCACCTTTATTACCAAGCTTCATACTCTCTTTTAAAGCCTAGCCCGCATTAAAAGGAAACTCTTAATCAATACTATAAAAATAGCAATTTACTGGTAATTTATAGAAATTATAATATAATACAATATATATTATTACATATCTTATATCTTTTATAAAATTTTAGATACAGTAATTGTAAAATATGAGTTAAAAAAATATAAAACCATCAAACACAACAGAAGGTATATATATATATGTGCATATATATATATATATATATATTTATTATCTCTTACAGTATCTAATATTTCAGTCATTATCAACTAAACAGAATTAATTTGGAGGTTAGTATAAATTGCAACAATACATAGTTGTTATTATCTATCCCTTAAATTGTAACACAGGCAAATTTGCCTGTGAAGATTTTTACTAATTTTTTTAATATTTAAATTTTT